TGGCATTGGTACTGGGGGCATTTGCTGCACTGGGCAGTGCCGGAGGCTGGAGCATACAGTACTGACCCACAACTAATGCCAATGTCAGCACTGAAGCCAGTAGCGCAGTCTGCATCGGAGCCAGTGCTATGAGCTCTGTAATCTGGATTCAGTCCCTTGCTGCCAGCATCAAAAGGAGGTCCAAGTCCTCCTTCATGGCTTCCCAACTGGGGGAGCCCAACACCACCAGACTCAATGGCCCTGCCCTCAGGGCCAGAATCAACAGTGCCATACTGTCTTTAAGGTACCCATCCGAGGGCCGCACTAACTGATGGTGACTGCTGGCTTTGTTATGCAGTAGCAGAGATGGAGAGCGGTGCCAGGCAAAGGAGCTCGTCTTGCGGACTGGAGAGCAGTGCTTTTGCTCTTTCAGGACTTCTTTTTGAGGCACCGATGTGTCCTGCACTGAAGCTGGACTGCACACCAAAGATGACAGTGCACCAGGGTCCAAGTACTGACTCCATAAGCAGGAGTTTCAAGCACTGATCTCATTCTGTTAATTCAAGGTTAGAAACTCCTTCAAATACTACACTCATCAGCTAAGTATCCTTAACCTAAGAACTTCAGGCAAGCTGTATGCAGATCTTCTCTGGGTATAGGCTTGCCACAAGGGACACAGTTCTTCAAAACCCACTGCATGCCTGGGGGGGAACTTAAACAAGGAAAAATGACAATTATCAACTAACTTCAAATAAGAACTAATCATAACCAAGAAACAGCTAAGAAAAATATAGTTAGGATTGTCTTGCTGAGAAAGAGCACTCCAACAACATTATTGGCAATAAGACGGAACTGTGGAGGTGGAAGGCCGATTAAGCCCTATGTACCATTGGCGGGCAACCTGCGGCCGGCCCATTGGGGCACCACTTGTGGCCTGCAGACCCCTTGTCTGTGCCCCTCGTACACTGGAACCCCGCACTTGGTACTCCTCCCTTCCCTGCGAGCACTTATGGAACACCACAAATCCACTGATTGACATTCCATCCCTGCTCCTCCCCTTCCCTCTCTCCCAGAGCTGGAATGCCACAAACCAGCTGTTCAAGCTCTGAGAGGGGGAGGAGCAGGAATAGAGCACAAATCAGCAGATATGCAGTGCTCTGAAAGTGCAGGGAGGTGGGAGGAGTAGGAAATGCAGAGCTCCAATGCCCAGGTGCACGAGGGGCGCATGGTGGGAGTAGAGGGTCTGGACTGCCAATAGAACCTCAGTGGGCTGAGGGTTGCTGCAGCCCACTGTGATGGAGGGTCACTATTCATAGTTGCCCATTGCTGCTATATACCATGCCATGCAGGTGCCACTTTAGCAGAAAAACTTTCTGATGCTCGTGCTCACAGCACTTACACATCTAATGGAATGCACATGACAAATAACTCAAAGAAATGAATTCTCACTGCAAGCATATTAAATCAGCACTTCACAATGTGCATCAATTGCCTATGGGTTTTTGATGAAGCTTAGTGCATTGTTCTTGACCTATATGATTTAGAATTTATCAATCTGCAAAACTGCCTGCCTCTCTCTTCATAGCAGTTTACTGATGCTGGGTCTTTAAATTTTACTTCTGCATTTATGATGTGTTTTTAACTGATTTCAATCAAACACCATTGGCACCGTAAGTGTAACATTTAGTCTACATCAGTGCTTCCCAATTTTATTTGGCCACGGAACCCTTTTTTTTTTTTAAACGCCAGGGGTAACTGGTTGACAAAAAAACAAAAAAACAAACAAAAAAAACACACACCACACACACACACCCCACCCCACGTTGGCCTGCCCCTAACATTGTGGTGGCCATTGGCCGACCCCTAAAACTGGTTCTGGGGGAGGACGAAGTGATCGGGGTCCCGCAGAACCCTTACTTTCACTTCGTAGAACCCCGGGGTTCCACAGAGCACTATTTGGGAAACACTGCTCTACAGAAATGAAATACTGAAGTTCTTGCCTGTTTGTATATCCTTCCAGAGAACCCAGGATTTGGAACTATCTTCAAATATAACAAAGCAGCTCTGTTTCAATTTGTTTATCTGAAAAATAAAGAATTATTTTGTGATTACATAGAATCATTAAAAGGGAGAATTTTAATTAACATATTGTAGTCAAGCTTAATGTAGGATGCTACAGGAGTCCCTGAATACTAAAAATTAGTTACCTTTTTGATAGTTCCAAGATAAAACAAGCCATCTGACCACCTCGCTAGGACATCCTGACCTTCTTCAAATTTACACACTGGCTTTTTGGCTCTCTCTCCATCCCGTAAGGATAGTTTGGCCAAGGATGTTGGGGTCTTCTGGTTTCGACGTAGAGGAGACCGTTTCTGGACCAGTGAATTACCCACCCCTGTAGAGTCTCTAAAATTAAACAAAGAAAAAAAATTAAATTAGGGTAACTTATTAAACCTATCAATTGTACTTTGATCAGCATTAATAGCACTTACGAAGAAAAACCCCTCAGCTAATCCCTAGAACTGTGTAAGAAGTTAATGATTTTAACAAAAAACCCTACCATTAAAATTCAAAAAGCACCAAAACCAATCAAAAGAATCTAATACTTAAAGGGTAAAAGAAAGGAAGAAGAGATTGATTCAACATGAGGCCATAAAACATTTTAAAGTGACATACAGAATTATCATTATTCTCTAGTAATAGAAATTACTTATCTAACGGCAAAATGGATCTAGATAAAAAGATGAGTGTCATTTTGGTAGCTCAAAAGTTACAATTCATTTCTTAAAACAAACAGTCCCCTCTCCGAGAACAAGCTGCTCATCTACCTGTATTTAGATCCTCTGGATGACCCAATACAACTTAACTTCAGCCTGAAAATGAAAACTAGCCTTCTATCTTCCCCCCCTCCCCCCCCCGAATACACAGAAAGGTAGAAGAAACATTCTGCATATCCAAACCATCACTTTGCTACACTTCTTTTCCAACTCCACTTGGACAGTTGAGTTACAAACTATACAAGAGAGAATGTACGTGGCAGGTGGTTCTCAAAGTACATTATAGCAGTAGTCTCCAAATCTTTTAACCTTGCGTGCTCCTCCTCCCGCAGGCCTGTGTAGCATTCATTCTCCCTCTCTGACTCCCCTCACAAGGGCTGCCCAGGCATTCCTTGGCACAACCCAGTTTGAGGACTTCTACACTACGGAATAGCACTGTCATTTGGTTATATTTGTGACGAAACCAGGGTGGGAAGCAAGTTTTCATTTTCCACACAAGTTGGGATAATTTATATACCCAGAATACAGTGCAGAACAGTCCAGCAGCCAGAAATAAAGTTCCATTCATGCAGATCAGCGTTTCAGTTGTCAGCCTCCCAAACAGCAACATTTAAATACAGTAGTCAAACCAAACTTTAAAATAGCTTAAGGCAGATCTACAATACAAAGTGGCATTGGGTCAACTGCATCTATTCTTTACTTAGTAACTCCACCTCCACGAGAGGTGACACCATGACAACAGGAGCTCTTCTAAAGACAAACCACTGACTACACAAAGGATTAAAGTTGGTGTAACTATGGCCTTGTCTATACTAGCAGAGTAAGTTGACCTAAGTTATGCTATTCCATCTATGCAAACAACATAACTGGAATCAATGTAGTTTAGGTCAACTTACCACAGCATCTTCACTGTGATGTGTTGACAGGAGATACTCTCCAGTTGACTTACTCTTCTCAGTAAAATAGATTACCTGCTTTGATTTAGCAGATTTTCACTAGACCCACTAAATTGACACCCACAGCATCGATTGCAGCAACATCCATCTCCCTGGTAATGAAGACAAGCCCTATGTTGCTAAGAAATGTGGATTTTTTCAAAACCTGAGTGATGTACTTATATTGACGTGTGTAGTATTGATCTGATCTTAACTATTTTTATTTATTTTTAAACGCCATCTGAAAAGTTTTAAAATTGTACTTGCATCCATGTTGTTGATTTTTATGTAAAGTTTCCATTTGTTTCCCTCTAAAAGCAAATTTTTTCAGCTTTTTAACCTTAGACATAAGAATATCAAGTTTGATAGTCTCCAGTTTTATTGAATGATCTCAGGGATGCTTATTATGAGCTTTAACAACTTAAAATGATGAAGTATAAACTTATTTTTTAACAAAGGACTCCTGTATACAAAGTGTTGTTAACTGAAATTTAGTGGGTGTTAATCATCTAACTAAAGAATTCCATTCACTTTCAATTAGGCCTCATCAACACTATAAAGTTATGCGGACATTTTTTCCACTCTTGTAATTAAACTGCTGTTGAACATCCACAAAACTCAACTTCTGACAGCACTGCGCATCTACAATAGGTAATCTTGGACTGACAGAACAATGCACTGTGGGTAACTATCCCATCGTGTAATTAGTCACCATCTGTTGCTGGGTGTTCTGGTAAGGGAACGCAGTTCCTCATCGAGGTTGGCTCTGCCTCCCATGATGCAGTTTTCTTAATCCCAGAAACTTCTTAGCATGTTTATGCTGTTTTCAACAAACTGCAGTAAACTGTACACCTGCAATATCCATAAAGAAGTGAGGATCCTGCACAGCTGACTATAATGAGCTTTATGAATATAACACACTAGATCCTGCAGTATTGCATGACCTGCAAGCTTATGATGACACGGTAGTGTCTACCCTACTGTGTGCATGGTCACAATCATCCATGGTTGCTGCTGGCAATCACAGAGCAGCTGCAAAGAGTGGACCATCAGTTCTGCATGTGAAAAACATGCACTAGGTGGTGGGATCACATCATTATTTGAAAAACTTAAAATAATAGTCTAACAGCACCTTAAAGACTAACAAAACACGTAGATGGTTTCATGAACTTTCCTGGATATAACCCACTTCTTCAGATGAATGAAGTATTAAAAAGTCCAGTTCCAAAATAAACAGGAGATGGGGGGGAGGATGGAAGGAAGGGGGAAAAATAGTGACTCTGGACTGTTCAAGTTACAAGACACTGATAGAGGTGCAAATTGTTGTTAAGTACCTATTGTTTGGTTGGTTAAGTCATTAGAATGTGGAAGATAGTGTGCTAGCCAAGTAATGTCTTTATTCATACCTTTGTGATGGCTCCCAAACTTGTAAATGAAGTTCCAAGGCTTCCCTGTGTATTTGGCTTGAGGAATTGGCTGGAAACAACAGGGTGACTTTGAGATCCTGGGCAGGTTAAAGGACTGAGTGCCCGGGCAGGTTAAAGTGATCTCCAATAGGTTTTTGGGTGTTGTTGCCTTTTCGGATATCTGATTTGTGTCCATTAATTCTTTCCCTGTAGAGACTGTCCAGTTTAGCCAATACACATGGCAGAGGGGCACTGCTGGTATAGATCACATTAGTGGACATGCAGTTATGTAAGTGTGGAATGATAAGCAACAGCTGCAGAACTTTCCTGGAACTATAGATACATCTTACCCCTGCGCTTCAGCACAATGATTTGAAAATGAGAGTTGCCCCAACAAGGGAGAAGCCAGCAGCAATTGTTATGTGGAAGCTGGCAATGCCAAATTGCTACTCAACAGTCACAAATAAGATTGGAATGAGAAAATCCACTGTGGGGGTTGCAATGTAAGGAAGCAAGGATCACTAATTGTTTTCTGCTACAAAGGACTGAACTCTGGTCAACATGCCAAAAATAGTGGATAACTGCCTGGCAATGCGGTGGGGCAAGAGTGGCACACATATCCTCATTTTGGCCCCACAGCCACCTTGCAACAGAGTATATCAACAGAAAGTGCTATTTTTCTATGATACTGCAAGCACTGATGGATCACCAAGATTGTTTCACCAACACAGACTGGTCAAGAAAAATGGATGATGCACCCATCTTCAAGAACACTGGCCTGTACAGAAGGCTGCAAGCAGGGACTTTCTTTCCAGACCAGAAGATATCAATTAGGAACATGGAAAAGCCAATTGTGATCCTGGCCGGTCCAACCCCCACCCTTCTTCCTCCTATAACTGATGCAGCCTTACACCAGCAACATTGAGGCACTTTAGCTGCAGTCAAGAACAGCTCAGCAGGTGCTGGGAAGCTAGAGGTGCCACTTTGTCAGGTTAGAACTCAGGAAAATATTTCCATTATTATCAAACTCTGCTGTGTTCTGCATCACATCTGTTAGGCTAAAGGGGTAGAAATTTCAACATCATGGAGCATTGCAGCGGACCAACTGGCAGCTGCTTGTAGGCAGCCAGGTACCAGGGCTGTAAGTCAGGCTCAATGGAGAACTATTTGAACCATGGAGGCTTAACAAACATTTTGACAATAAGCCACAACTAAGGATGTTAAGAGGCATGTAACTGGCTAATTATATATTCGATACAGTTTGTATCAGCTACACATGATTAGTTGATAAGGACAAGTGCTCTCACTGGGTCCAGGAGCTACCCCCCACTGTGGCTCTGCAATTTAAATGTAATAGGTGCCGGTGCATAGGCAGCCCAGTTCTTACTACATTTAAAATGCAGAGCCGCAGTGGGGTAGGTCCTGGACTTGGCATGATCCAATCTTGCTCATTTCTGGCTCACACTGGGACCAGCAGCCTCTTCCACAGGGGTCCCAGTGGGGAGCTGAGATACCCCATGGACAGAGGCTGCTACAAATAAGCAGCCCCTGTAAGCAGTGGCCGGGGCTGGCCAAAAACAGAGGCATGTGGAGAAGTCTCTGCTCGCGACGAGCCTGGACCTACTGTGGGGAGAAGCTGCTGTGTGACGCAGGCAACAGCGTGTGGGGAAGGGGACCAGGCGGTATCACAGAGTTGGTGCTGGGGGGAATCAGCTTTTAAGCCAGCTCCTGCTTCCTCCCTCCCTCCAAAGGCAGCAAGTGGAGGAAGGGGAACACCGCTAGCCGCAACAATGTGTGTTGCTGTAATGCATACAGACAAGCATTATTTTCTTGCACCACAGTATAAACCTTGTAATGACTGCTCTGTGTGTGGTAATTTAATAAAGTAAATACAACTGCTGCCACTGTTTGAATTTTAGCAGCAATCACTGTATATAGGAGACTCATTTTGTTCACTTTCTGTAAGTACATTTTTATTCAAAATCCATGCGAGCATTCTATGTTTGGTAGGAATATGAAACTCAAAAGCATATTCACCAATTAGGCTCTCTCCTCATTGTGAGGTGGACCTAGAAGGCAACTCAGTATGGGACACAAGGGGAAGGAAAAAATGGATATGTTCAACCCGAAGTTCTAAGAGGGACCACAACACATCTGTTTGTTCCCAGGATAGAAGCAGATAAAGCTGCTCATTTCCCAGCCTGACTGTCCATCTGCAATTTGTAATTGATAACCTCTCTCTATGCTCTCTGCTTGCAATCCAGACCACAAGAGGATTGCTTCACTTC